GCTGTGTATGCCGGTTCTGACACAGCTGACCTGAGAGATCAAGGCAGCCTACACATTTTAGTGAGGCACATAGTAATCTGTGGTGGCTATAAACAGTACCTGTGGATGTGCTTTGGCTAGATCTAATCCTTTGGCAATTATGGAGGGAATGAAAATAAGCCTTAGCCTGGGGGAAGAGAGGATGGGAAGGGAGTAAGGAGCTGTGTAACCCTGAGTATCAAACAAGGAGATTATTTTCTTATTCTTATAAGTATCTCTATACTCTACAAAGCATCGTGACCCTGGTTGAATTGTTTGTACACTTATCTAAAGCATCCCAGATGATGTATGGGTAAAAGCACGAGGGTCTTCTTATCTGCAAACTAACTGTGGTAAATGCTTATAAATTGACTATTTCTGTAAGCATTTCTAAATTGAGGCAGGGGAAAGGTCAATACATGCAGCTTTGGTATAAGGTAATGGTAGCTGTTTTCTGAGGTGCTGTAGCAAAAATTAGACTGCATCCTGCCCATGGTGTTACATGGGGAGGCATAGGTCTCATTCTGCCTAGCAAGCTTGTGGTAGATCTCTCAGTATTGAGCCTCCTACCTGAATTCCACAGCAATAGTAACATCATAAATACTTGCATACAGACACTGAGAGGAAGCAGCACTTTATAGTTCCCTGTGCAGTGTTCACTCAAAGCATGTCTGGAATTGCAGACAAGATTCTTTGTAACTCAGTCGTCTAAATAATTACCTAATCAGTTATTTTGCAGGGCTGAGCATCCATGATTGTCTTTTTTTAGCCACTTTCTTCCTATGGTTGTTTTCTCATCCTCGGGCAGTTCTAGCTGCATTTTGAAGATGCCAGACTAACTGGTTTCTCGTGGCACCTTGCACAATCAGGCCTTGCATTTATGGTAATAATATTGACAGCAATTGTGAGGATGTTTTTAAGCCTTTCCTGAGCTAGCTTCCTGCTGTGCAGCAGCTTTCAATCACAGCCAGGACAGAGCTGAATTATTCAGACAGGATATCAGTTGCCTATTCAGTCCTGCCAAGGAGGCAGTGACTGGCATGAAATCACCTTAGCAGTGATTGTATGACCGGGAGTAAGTAGCTGAATAAGAAGCATCTCTTCAAGCTGACTATCTTGTAACACCTTGTAGGGAAAGAAGCTTTCATGGGTTGATCCTGGAAGGCTGAAGTGCACCAGCCTGCTGCTTCTTCCTCCCCTACCCCTGCATGGACTGATACTGGTATAGGGAAGGCTTGCTCCCCTAGGGAGGTGATAGTTAAATTCACATTACGTGGTTCAGTGAATATCCTTTTAATCTCTAAGACAGCCAGACACAGCACTGAGCCTGCCTGGTGCTGGGGTAGGATGTGACTTCGGTCCAGGCTCAGGGGGAACAGATATAATCACATACAATGAATGCTTATTTCTTTTCCTGGGTAAACTTTTCAATTTGGATGATTTTCTACCTTTACATTCTAACTTCTGATCTCACTGTTTCCTATGAATGATGTGAAACACTAATAATTCATTTTCCACTTTACATGAAGCGGTTATGGCCACGCATCTGCCTCTGGTGGGTGGTTTGTATATTTTATCAGCCAACATAAAATTGCTTTGAATACAGCTCACTTTTGCTGGCATGGAATGTTACAGCAGCAGGTATAGACTAGATGGATATTTTGTCTTGGCTGTTTTAGTTTTAATTAAGACAACAGAAGATCAAGTGCAAAGCAAGTGCGTAACAAGTGTGATGCAAGCTCAAAAAGTGCATGCATTAAAATCGTATTGCATAATGTGCATTAAAATCACCAGGTTCAACCCTATGAATTACCACAGTAATGAAGTAGTGTGTAGATCTGCCACTGAAAAGCAAATGTCACTGTTCTACAAATAGTAGAAACCATTTCAGCTCACAAAAGAAATGGTTCTTTCTCATTATCTCTATATACTCACCTGTTCTGCTGAGCTTATAGATAACAGTGCATCTTAGTACCTATCCCACATTCAGCATTTGTAATGTGGGTTATATATAGGCTATTTGGGTACTGCAGCTTCCCCTGTTTGCTCTGTTTGGAATGACTTGCTCTTCTCATTAAAAGAAAGCCAATGAAGTATTAATCTTTAATTGGAGAGATGGGGTGTTCCACTTCTCCTGTCGCATCAGACTACACTTGAATTTTTCACCTGGTTCTCTAACAAAGCAAGGATCTTATTGTCGTGATGTCTATCTACATGGGTAGGCATGTGTTTATCCCCTGTGTCTAGCTGCAGTAATTTTTAACCTGTGGGTTGTTTTCAATTCAGCTTGACAAAGTAGCAGATCACAAGGGTGATTTGGTTCCTCTAAGCTTTGCAAAATTAGGGGTCCAAGAAGGTGAGGGAATAGGCAAGTTCTCTGTCTGAGGAAGAGGCTGCAGCAGGACTGAGATCTGACTCAACAACCGGTGAGCCCCTATGGGAGGAAGACCCTGTGAGTGACTTGCTTAGGGAAGTGCTTCTGCTGGACCAGGAGATACTTGAGCTGAATCAGGAGATACTTCTGCTGAATCAGGAGATACTTGGGCATCTTTATTTCCATCATTCTGTTGATCTTAGACATCCTTCTCACAACACTCAGAAAAGAGTTGGAAACTCAGGAATGCCTGGCAGATATCCTCCTCCATCTGTCCTGTTAATTGTCTGTGTGCAGACAAACCTGATCAAAGCTTTTCCTTTCTGCCTGTATCCCCTTTCCCCCAGGACTGGCTATGGCCTCAGGGAGTTCAGGTGTTTGTGTCGTTTAGGGTTTGATTTGTTTGGGTTTTTTTCCCCCTCAGAAACAGTGATAGTATCAGAAACTACATAGAGGGACTGCTCTCCATTGTGCTAGAAGCAAAGATCCTGTGTCCTGAGGTCTCTTTTCCCACCCTCAGCCCTGTTCTTTGGCTTTTTCATCAATAAGGCACTGCATGTGTATCTGTGCTGTGTAGAAAAAGCAAGGACATAAAACATGTAGGTGACAACATGAAGATGTGTGGGAAAAGGCAGTAAAGAAGGGTCACAGAATCACTGTTAGGCCTGGACAGGGGACCTCGGTCTAAAGTTACTTGTGTTAAAGAGCTCAAATAGTATGTGAAGGTAAATAAGGGAAGCAAATTCACAGGGTAAATATTTTCCCTGGTTATTAATAAATGCAGAGGAAGGAGTTTCACAGTCAAATCCTTGTGAAAGCCATTTGTTCGTTGTCATGAGTGGCATGTATTTTGATAACATGCAATAAGCACCTCATCTTCCACTGCTACTCATGCATGCACAATTCTTCCCATTTAATTCAGCAAGACTAATTATCTGAATTAGTAACATTAGCTTGAAGCTACGGCTTTGCAGATTGAGGCTCTGGCTTTCAGGACAGCTTCTTGAAAGGAATTAGTCCTGTCTTAGTACAACAGAACTGTCAAATTACATCCCCTGGCTTTGTCTGATGTTTTGGTTACAAAGCCAGCCATACACAAGCCTGTCATTGTGGCAATAGATTTAAGGTAGTGGTTATTGTCATTATAGGGCTCTGACAAGCATAAAACAGATCATAAAGGTTGGGCAGTTACCTCACCAGCTGATAGTAGATAACACACACTTCATTTTACCTTCCACCTCATTAGTGGACTCTGTCGTCCATACTCCCGGGATGCCTGTTGTCTTTCTGAGAATTAACTCCTGAACCAACTCCCATTGCGGTTTAACTTACGCAGGCATGACCACTGTAGCTAATTCTCAAGCAGATCCAAGACCCCTGCCTGGCAGCACCATCAGTTAGAGAGGTAGGGCTGAAAACAGCAGCACTTTAGGAGCTGATGCTCAAGTGGCTTGAGCATTGCTGCCTGCAGAGTGGCAATATCTCTGGAACCATCAGGGGGACAGGTGGAGGGAGCAGATCCCTTATTTTTACTTTATATCCATTCAAAATAAAAGTCAATACAGTCCTGCTTTTTGCTATAAATTGAAGTGTTTTGGTAACTCTGTTATGCCTGCACTGTTACTGATGCAAATAATATGAGGTTTAGGATCCGGAGCACTCACCTATCCAAGGTCTAGCAACACAGTGAAGGGGGACAAAAGGGACAGGCCATGACTGTTCAGCTAGTGAGGTCTTTCAGTCTCTACATCATCTGTCGCCCATTATCTTTGAATGAACTGTTCATAATTAAGTAGTGTGACTGAAGATGGGAAATCCGACATGGCAAATACTGAACTTGCACCTCATTTATCTCTTTCAAGTGTTTAATGAATTTTCATCTTAGCTAATGAATAATGGCAATTTCAGGCCCATTGTCTTATGCAGGCAAATTAATAATGGCCTAAGGATAGTTTCATACCTAGGAGTATGGTAGAGATTGCCAAAATGCCAGAAGATGCATTTCTTTTTAGAAGGTCCAACAGCAATAGGACAAGGGGGAATAGGTTTAAACTTAAACAGAGGAAGTTTAGGTTAGGTATAAGGAAGAAGTTCTTTAATGTGAGGGTGGTGAGGCACCGGAACAGATTGCCTGAAGAAGTGGTGAATGCTCCATCCCTGGCAGTGTTCAAGGCCAGGCTGGATGGAGCCTGGTAACGTGGTCTAATGTGAGGCATCCCTGCCCTTGGCAGGGGGGTTGGAAGTTGATGATCTTGAAGTCCTTTCCAACCTGAACTAGTCACTCTGTGGTTCATATTCACAAAGAACTCTGAACACACAGAACCTACTCTTTGGGGATAGAAAGTGAACAAAAATTGCCTACCTTCAGCTACCCTGTCCTTAAGGTCACTGTACGTTTTGGTTTCCCAAACAGGTCCTCTTTGTCCATGAAGAAATTTTGACTAGGGTTAAAAGCTTTTAGTTGGTAGCAGTGTATTAATAACATACAAAAGAAATGTGGGTGCCCAACTGTTTATTCAAAGGTGTGGTGAAATAAGGCAAACTAATGGATAGGAATGGGAAAACTTGGCATAAGGAACATTTTAACATAAACACTTTTATTAGTGAGTAAGTGTGTCCACCAGCTCCTACTTTCCACAAAGTAAGAAAAACAACTCATAGTTGTAGATGTGGCTTCAGCTGGTTTTGGCATTTGAGACCAAGTACAGAAGTTTAAATACAGAAAACAAAGCATAGGTGTGATACAGATATATACTATAATACCTGCCAGTTTGCCCCCAGTACTTGAAAGAAATGGAAATGCCCTTAAGTACAGAAGTATACTCTTCTTCCTAGCCAAACCTGAAGCAAATGTGCTCTACTTCATTTACCCCCCTGAAGTGACTGATTTCCATTACTTAATTGCCTCTCAAAGATGTTGCTGAAATACTGAGAGATAAAAATGAGGTTTTCAGTCACAGAAGCAGGAATGAACATTTGAAAACAATTGTTTAGTCAAAAAATGTTTTACCTGAAAACACAGGGGTTTTTAAACATAATCTGCTGAAAGTTAATGGTTGCCTTGTCTTCAGCTTCTTATTCAATTTACCATGACTGACATCTCACTTCTACTTATGAATATAAAATACGCAGTATTGAGAGGATTAGCATGTTCATTTTGGTTTTAGACAGTGGGATGAGAGAAAGTCATCTTACCAAATGCATAATAGCAATAACAGCAAATACATAACACGCCATTCCTAACATGGTCAGACAGAAGACATGCAGGATTTAATAGCTCATCCTTGTCTGTTGCTGGAGGTGAGTCCCAGACTGCTGTGGCATATCCGTGTAAGATCTAATGTTGTCACTGGAAAAGATGGAATAACTTACTTTTAGAAAAATTTTGCAAATGTAAGGATACTCTCAGCAGCTCTATCCTTCAGATTTGCACACTTTTGTAGATGCTTTCTTCTGAAAGTGCAGCCCCTGAACCAGATCGCTGTACTTGCTATGTAGGTTTGCTTGGCCATCTCAGAAACGTCACTAATCCTGAACCATTAGGTTGGAAACAAGTATTTTACTGTATCTATAATGTTTTTTGTAACAACCTCAAGCTTCATGTCTTTTCTGCTATACACCTTCATCAAGGTGTAACTCGGACCTTCATTTCTGTCGCACTAGCATTGGGAAACATACTTCAGTCTGAGAGTTAACCAGCCTGGCTCTGAAGCCATAAACATGCTTCAGTGGCAGTGCCTGTAATTGTGTTCCTGTAAACTGGCTTTAGTCCTGTCGTATACCCATCACAGGCATTATCATTCTGAAGGGAGAGCTCATCTTGCAATATGCCTAACAGTGGTCAGGATCGCAGCCTTCAGACGTATACAGAACAACTAATAATTAGAAGCAGTTAGGCATTTTCTGTCTGAATAGTTTTTCTGATGGAAAAGATAGGGTGGGATTTGTCTGGAAAACAGGATGAAGAGTCTTCAGGTAACTTCACATTCATCATAAGGCAGAAGCAACTGCTGCTAATCAAGAAAGCTGCTGCCCATATCAGTATTAGAAATGGTGCTTCCTTCCAGTCATACAAAGACACCAGCTGAAGACTTGGCTACAGGGCAGGGAAATCATGACTTTCAGCTATTCTCTTCCACTTTGCTTCTGCTCAGTGAGTGAAACTGGCATCACCATTCAGGTGGAACAGTCCTAGAGAGCTCAATCTGCGACTCTCCAGATCAAATTCTTATCTCGTAAAAAAGTGCTTTTCAAAAGTCACGTTTCAAAATGAAACTCGTTTCCAAAAGGAAAGCTAATTTTAAGTCAATAAAATTCAAAGCACATTATAAGAAGAAGCTTACCCATTTTCCTATTGGTCGTTACAATTAGGCTGATCAGATTGCTGTGTCTTGGTAACTATTTTAAGTACTGAAACTTGAAGTTGTATGAGTTTAGTTCTACCCACTCCCGTCCATTTCAAAGGACTGCAGTATCTTGGGATGAAAAGTGTTTTGCAGGAATAATGTGTGTGTTCTGTGCTTGTCAAACTGAATCAGTTAGTAGTTGTTCCCTAAATTTGACAACAGTATGTCCCAAAAAATGTGTACATTTTTGCACAGTCTTAAATTGTCATAGAGAAATTGAGACTTCATTTCATGTACGTGTGTGCTCATCTATAAATACAGGTTTCTCCAACTGCTGTGCCTCATTCTCTGTTTTGTTCTGAGGTCTTATTCCGGACTGAATACAGTGTTGTTACTGAAACAGGTGAAGGTTTTCTCTTTTCTCTCTTAGGAATTGCTTTGTGTCTGCTTTTAAACTCAACTATGTAGAATATATACCTGCAGTTTAGCTTCTGTAGATTGTTTTAAAAGGATATATACTCTTTAAGCTTTTAATGAATTCTTCCAAAGCAAACTTAAAAAACAACTTGCCACATTTCAAATAACTATAAAACTTGGACAGGAAAAACAAATCTTCTTTACTTTTTCAAGACATCTCTTACAATCGGGTATGTTCATGTGCAGAGTTATGCCACTAGGACCCTATTGTCCCAAAGCACTGTTATATTGGTCAATTTTACTTACTTAGGTAAACGAACGCGTTCTGAGTTTATGAAATGCTCTGTTGAGAAATCCCATCGTACTTAGCAGTTGAAGGATCAAAGGCAAAAGGAACCAAGCCCATGTAGTATTGTGCTGTGTCGCTTAAAGCTCTCCATGATTTACTAACCTGAAGTAGATCAAAATAGAAAACAGTATTATGAGCTTTGATACTGCAAAATGCAGTTGGTGACAGCAGTCTTACCTGCATTGATAAATCAGATTCCCTCCCTTTACCCAAGGGGTTACTGTTCAGTGTTAATCCCAGACCTGTAATTGTGTGGGTTTGGGGTTTTTTTTTACCCCGAAAGGTGCTGCAAGATGGAAGCAAATACCTGTTCAGCTACAGCATATCCCCATGCATCCTGGCTGCTGCTTGGGTCCCAGTAGTTCTGAGAAAACAGTATCTGTCGTTTAAGTCGCATAAACTGATTTGCTGATTCTTCTGTCAGAAAAGGTGCTCCAAGGACACCTGAAAAGGAAGCTGAGGAACATTTGTAGTATCAGGAAAATGTTTTAGAGTGTTCACTTCAAAAAACACACCCAAAGAGCGGGATCTGTATCTGAAGGGGGCCTATAGGGATGCTGGGGAGGGACTCTTCATTAGGGACTGTAGTGACAGGTCAAGAGGTAATGGGTTAAAACTTAAACAGGGGAAGTTTAGTTTGGATATAAGGAGGAAATTCTTTCCTGTGAGGGTGGTGAGGCACTGGAATGGGTTGCCCAGGGAGGTTGTGAATGCCCCATCCCTGGCAGTGTTCAAGGCCAGGTTGGACAAGGCCTTGGGTGAGATGGTTTAGTGTGAGGTATCACTGCCCATGGCAGGGGGGTTGGAACTGGATGATCTTAAGGTCCTTTCCAACCCTGACTATTCTATGATTCTGTGATTTATAACCAAAATGTTTCTACATTAGATCTTTAGCACACTTTTTTAATCTTAAACCTGAAGTTAATAAGCTGGCTGCTATAAATCACTATTTTGCTGTTGAATCCAGAGTAAATAAAGTTACAAGCAAATGAAGGAGCTAATTTATTTTGTGTTGTGACTGAAAAGAAACTTAGACTGGATTTCACTAGTCTCAAGTGTGCTGAGAAGCCTAAAGATTGGGGTCTTTAAAACCTTAAGCCTACCCATAAATTTAACTGTGCTTTCTAAAGCCCCTCGTTTAGATGTAGTCATTATTCTCATTAGTAGCAGGAGAGAAATTGCATGTGTAGAAATTACTCTGAATAAAAGACACTGCGTTTCTAATCTTGCTATTGCACTGCTTTAGGCAGCTTTCGAGTTCACCCCAGATGCAGAAGTACTTCTTGTAGGTGATCTTGAAATAGTCATTCTGCTCAAGAAAAATGGCTGAATTCCTCACTAACTTCATATGAAAGGTTCTGCTACGGGAAAAGGCTACTTTTTTAATAAGCCACTGTTTTAAGTTGAAACTTGGATATATAAGCCAAGATGAGACCAGTGTCTGTAAACAGCTGTACTCCAGTTTAAGTGGGTTTAAATGGACACCTGAGTGTGACCTGCACACACTTGGTACTGAGGGGCCAAGAACTTGAACCCTTATCTATTGTACCTTATAATAGCAGCTCAGCAGGGCAAGCTATTGCCTCACTGCCAGCTCTCCAGTGTCCTCATTCCTGAATCTCAAGGGGGAAAACTCTAACTCAGGATGTCAAATGTTTGCTTTCATGTACAATGCTCAGTTGAATCCAGTTCACCCGCTATTATTGATAGCTTTCCTGATCATCCACAGTATGGTTGCTCTTAGCTTTTAAAAAGACAAAAATGTACACCGAATGCATGTAGGCAGCAGATATTTGCTGCTCCTTTTCCCTTTGTTCCTTTTCAAAGCCAAAAAATGCTTGAAAAGAAAGTGAGAAAATGCTCGATTGTAGAGTAATGGACAAAATAAATCAGTGAATGTGGTTGTCATTGTCAATCTTAAAAAAGGCATGAAAATGTGCATTGGAAAATTTACTTAGCAAGCAACGACACTCCTAGTAGTTCCTTCCTACTGCAGATCCCAAATTACTATTATCAGAAACCAGAGGCAAAAATTTAGGGGTAGGGAGTTTACAAGGAACACCGTCTTTAAAAATGCTAACAGCTCCCTGTTAAAATCTAAGCTCAGACATTTGGTGTGAAGATTCTTGTTGTGTGACCTGCTCTCCCCCGTAGGGAACTGAGAAACAGTTATTTCTGTACTTCAGAAAATAAGTAAGATTTTGGCCCGGGGAAGGAAATAAAATGTGTATCTTGCATTTGTCTACTAAGCTCCTACCCTTCTGTTTGAGAGCTGCGCGGGATAAAACTAAGCTCATGCCAAACTTCATTATTTCTCTGTCAATTTATTGTTATTCAGTAGAAAAATCTATGAGCTGTTAACTTCTTCTTAGTGAATATGGAGAGGGCTTTTTGGGTATTAAATATTTTCTAAGCTCATGATTGCATTTCTGGACTGAGATATCTGAACTGGGACCAGAAATTGGCTCAGTAATAGGCTTTACTTTTGTTTAAATGTATATAGAGTTACTAAGGGCCATTAAACATTAAATTCTATCACCAGTATGTGCTCTCACTTCCCAGCTTCATGGTGAGCTAGAAAATAACAACGTTAAATGGTTCTGCTTTTTGTGTTTTCTCTTCCTGCTGCCAGCATCTTCAGAAACTGAGCTTGTTCTGCTGGTGGGACAGTGAGGTGTTGTCTTGGCTACTGAGATGCATAGCATTCTGTCTTGAATGTATTAACTTTCCATTTTTAACATCCAGCCTGCTCTGACTGCACTTGTGCAAATGGCATCTAATGGCAAATGCCATCCTTAACCATACGTATTCACTTCGACTAAAGAAGACTTTCATGCTCCAAGGGAGGTGGGGGTGTCAGGTCTGCTCTTTGCTTCTTCTGTCATTGTTGACACTCAGTTCTTGTTCTTTTCTGGCTGCTATCACAAATGCTTCCTCCTCTCACCTTCAGCACCAAGGAGCCATCTCTGCAGGGCTTCTCCCTAGCTCCTGGGGTGCTCCAAAGATGCGTAAGTATCATATAACGTCAGGTAAGAGCCTTTATATTCAAGCTAGTCCTTCAGGCTTAGCTCATTCTCTCTTCGTCTTACTGTAATGATCATTATACATCTCTGAATAGAGCCAACTTCATTCACCTCCAGAAGAACTCTAGTGAGACCATTTCTACTGAAACCAGAAATAGTCCTGTTGGCCTTCCACTGGGACTAAATAGGCAAGCAGGGTTGTGAACTTGCTTGTGCTCTGGCAGAGTTCAAAGAAAGTCAGGTCTTAAAGCTCTAATGTATGGAATCATAGAATGTTTTGGGTTGAAAGGGACCTTAAAGATCATCCTGTTCCAACCCCCTGCCATGGGAAGGGACATCTTCCACAAGACCAGGTTGCTCAAAGCCCCATCCAACCTGGTCTTGAACACTTCCAGTGATGGGGCAGCCACAACTCCCCTGGACAACCTGTTCCAGTGTCTTACCACCCTCGTAGTGAAGCATTTTTGCCTAATAGCTCATCTAAATCTACCCTCTTTCAGCTTAAATCCATTCTCCCTTTTCCTTTCACTACATACCTTTGCAAAATGTTCCTTTCCAGCTTTCTTGTAGGTCCCATTTAGTTACTGGAAGGTTTCTATAAGGCCCTTCTCCCCTTCTCCAGGCTGAACAAGCCCGATTCTTTCAGCCTGTCTTCATAGAAGAGGTCTTCCAGCCCCTGATCATTTTCATAGCCCTCCTTTGGACTCACCAGACTCGGGAAGCATCAGAGCTGATCTATCTGAATAGCCCCTGAGCAGCCCCTCTAAGTGCATAGTCTTCAGCAAACAACCTACGTCTTGTTTCAGTTTATCAGACCAGGAGTAATTTTTTTCCTGCCTTTTGAACAGCTTGGGGAAAAGACTGTGGAAGAGTGTGTTGTTCAGGCAGGTGCCTCAGACTATGCCTGAAGGGCTGCAGCTCTCCGTCTTGCAGGAGAGTAGCACAGAAACCAGGAGAAAGAAGGGAGTTTAAGCACCTGGGTGTGAGACTAGAGGGAGTTAGTAGCAGGTGGGTAATGGTGATGAAATGGCTCACAGTGAATAAAGAGCTGAAAACAGAGCTGAAGCAAAGTTAACTCACTGAGAAGAGCAGGCAGACATATCGTACAATAATGGTTTTACTCAGTACGGTTTTCTCTCTTTTATCTTAGATAAATATGCTGTTTGAAAAACACATTTAGGGATTAATGGCCCAAAGGAAAAATAGGACAAATGTGTGCAGGGGTGGAACTATTGCAGGGGCTGTATCAGCTGTTACCAGTTTGTGTTTCTTCTCATCGTCTCCTGAAGATTCACTCAGTGTTCTTGTATGAAAAACAAATTAGAGAAAACAATTGGCTGTTTATAGCAAACAGATGCTTAGTTTGTGTAATCAGTGCCTTCAGCAGGTAGTTTTGTCTATCATGTACACCTAAATAGATTTTCCATGGGGAAAACTATTAGTAATCATTACTGTTATGGTGCCTTCTGAGTATCTCATTTTAGCTTAGTGTGAACTGGTGTAAGACTAAGCTTGAGAGAGTCTCAAGAGGGGGTATGGTGACAGAACCTTGTCATCTTTGTCAGAATAGCAAATGTGTGCTTAATCCCAGCAATGACTACTAAAAAAGAACCAGCAACCTGACTATGAAAAAGACCTATCAAATAGCTTGGAATGTCAAGGTAATAATATGAACCTGCGTAGATCTTGAACTATCTGCATTAAAATCTCTTCATACATACTCAAATGGAAGCTTAACCCTATCTGAAAATGATAGGTTTCTAGAAAGCAAGATGGTTGCTGTGTGCACCTTAAAATCTTCCCAGGAAGACATCTTTTTCTGTCACCTGAATGATCCACTTCGTAACACAGTCAAAAAGGTGAGAATGGGATTAAATTTTGATACTTTTTAATTGATATGTTTTTTCTCTTTTAAAAGCTAAGCAGTATAAGCTATTTTGTGCTTAGCAGTCTGCATGCAAGCCACCGTTTGCATGTCCAATACTAGAGTTAAATGATAAGAAAACAAGACTTCAAACTTGCTATGGTACAGGATATGCTTCCCCCCCCACCCCTTCCCCAGGGAGCTTGTTTTATCCAGATCAGGAGTATTGGATAAGTGGTAAGGAGCAATCCCAAGGCCTGGGAGCAAAGTTTATCCCTGGAAAAGTGGTTTAGCTCTGATTTGCTGTGATATTTACAAATAAATTGACAATTACTTAGCAGCACTTCAGTCATTCTGTGCTCATTGTCACATAAACTGGACCTATTTTTTTCTCTCCCTAGTTTCTGAAGACTATTACAAGTTTCTGACAAACTGAAAACCTAAAGTTATTCATTTCAATGGAATTTAAATGTCAAAAGTTGGCAATTGCTCTGACTCCTTTCCTTTTAGTCTAATAACTCTTATTATCGACTTTGCTGATTGACTGGTCAAAATGTCAGCACACAGGGATAAGGATGCCAGTCTTATCAGCACTTTAGGACACAGCTTGGACAGAGGCTAAACTTGGACAGAGCTAAACTTCAACCTTGGACACTAACCTTGCTGAGGTGGCTGGTGCTGACGTGTTGGGAACTTTGACAAAGCAAATCAAACGCTGCAGCTCAGATGTGCTTCTTAAGGTTAGAAATGAGCCATCAGGGACACCCCCACAACACCCCCATGGATCCGTGCTCCACAGTACTTCATCTGTCTAACATTCCAAGCCCAGGAAAGATTCACAAAGTTAGACCCAAGGACTCAGGCTAAGGATTCAGAATAGCACAGTGCAACAGTGCAAGCACTGAAAGAATAGTGTGGAAGCATCTGGTTTTCACCAGTGTATTTCTCCATGTGATGTGGCACTCCATGGAAATCATAGAATCATAGAATAGTTAGGGTTGGAAAGGACCTTAAGATCAAGTTCCAACCCCCCTGTCATGGGCAGGGACACCTCGCTCTAAACCATATTACCCAAGGCCTCGTCCAACCTAGCCTTGAACACTGCCAGGGATGGAGCATTCACAGCCTCCTTGGGCAACCCATTCCAGTGCTTCACCACCCTGACAGGAAAGAATTTGCTCCTTATATCTAATCTAAACTTCCCCTGTCTAAGTTTGAACGCATTACCCCTTGTCCTGTCACTGCAGTCCCTAATGAAGAGTCCCTCCCCAGCATCCTTATATGCCCCCATCAGGATGTGGTTATCTACCAGCACTTTGCATACATAGGTGGATTGCAGCAGGTACATGCTTTTAGATTCTGCAGGCCACCTTTGGGCCACATATCACCTTTTTCCAGTTGAAAAGTACAATTACATTGAAGTCAAACACCTCTATATTGTTTTTCCAAATGGTGAAAAAGAACTGTGCCTGTGCACATTGGCTGTGTATTCTGAAGTTTCGGATGGTAACAGGCCTTAAGTCAGTTAGATTTGCTAGTATCTGTTGATGGCAAAATTCTCCATCACTGATTGTTAAGTTCTGCAACATTGCTCATATCACCCAGCCCCTGAAGTTTTGGTCTCTTCTGTTTAAAGCCTTGAAGTACAGTATTCTCTATTCTTTGACAACTCCTAATTCTACAGCACAGGACATAAGAGCTCTCTGGTTCAAGAGATGAGAGCTCAGTCATTAGCAGTTGTTAGAGCTAACAGCATCAGCCTGGTTCCCCCATCAGCAAAAGCAGGCAATTTACAGACACTAAATGCAGGATTAGGTATTGCATGCATTGCTGATGTATGCGAGGGGTCAGGAAAGCTGTCAGCTATGGGTAAATGGAAAGGCGATTGCCAGAAATCCTGGATAATCCTAGAGAAGGAACTACTTTCCCTGAAAGAAAATATTGGAGAAAGCATTGGTCCATTGGAACCTGGCAAAATTTCCTTTCTAAATCCAAACGTGGCCATAAGTTTAACCTTGTATGAATGTATTAACAGATTAGTCATCTGAGAGCCTTCAGTAATGATTCCAATGCCAGGACACCATGCTCTTGTACCCATCCCTTGCTGCTGCACTCTGCTGCAGTCCAGAAAGCCCATTCCTAGAAAAGTTGTTTATTGTAGGGAGTGATTTACAGCAGCTGAGTTGAGGTTCTGATGAAGAATCAGGCTCTCACTAATGAATCATATGGCCTCTATTTTAATTCACCACCACCTTGATCACTGCTGAAAGGATTGACAGTTAATGGAAAACTGAGCTGTTTGTGATCAGTTAAACTTTTAAGACTCATTAAAAATCAGTAATAAATAGTTCTTCCTGCCCTTTGAAAACAGGAACCTGGGAAAGAGGGCAAACGAGGCTGTTAGGAAAGACAGAGAGATAAGGGAGATAAAAATCAAAGTTTAAGTCTTCCAAAAAGAGGGGCAGCAGGCTGTTGTGATCCCAGCTTGGCATCAGGTGACACGGCTTGTGTCATGATGGTCTACAATGGGAAGGAGGTGAGGTTCAGGAAGACAGAAAAGTGCCTAGGAATAGTCCAAGCTCAGGTGCACAGCAGATTAGGAAGTGCAAATAAGGAGAAAGGAAGGTTTCTAGGTGAGCTCTAACTTGCAGGAGAGAGAAAGGCCCTTTCCATCTCCTCCCCTCCCTGCAAAGCCTCCCTGCAGCCAAAACTTAGGATCATATGGCAAGGAAGAGAATCTAGCCCCTTAGAGAGAGTACACCTGAGTGTGGTCCCAGTTCACAAAACCACTTACTTATGATTAAGCATTGGTTAATTCTGTTTACCTCATTTTGCCTTAGCTCTTCTCATGGTGCATTTACTGCATGTGTGCTGGACTGCTCAGATCAAAGAAATGCTCTTAATGCACGCAGGTGGCTGGAGCATCTTTTCATGATGCAAGCAGCCACCTGAGAAGTCAACAGTATTTTCCTGCCTACCTAGTTTGTTATAATTCAGTGAGGAACAAATTTATCTCACAACATGTGCATCACTGATCACATCAGTTTGTGCTGCTTTGGGAAGAGCATCCTTTCAGCCTTTCTGATGCTGCAGCCCCATCATACTCATTTACATTCTGGTCCAGTTTTTACAGGGTGGATCTAGATTTTAGGTGCCCTGGTTACAGGGTGTTGTGAAGGTTCACTGATCAGGCAGACTGAGAGCTCTGAAGGACTCTGTCTCCTTAAGCAAGTCAAATCAGATGTCCTGAAAATCACTTATGAAATAGATCATTTAGATCCTTATAAGTGCATGTGAAACTGTTTCTTGCTACAATAAATGTGGAGATCAGAATAATGTTCAGGGAAGATTCCAGAAAAACAGCCTTCAACTCTTTCTACAATTTAAACAGTTCAGCAAGTCATTCTGTAAGCATCCCTTTCAGACCGAAATGCATCCTTGCCCCTCATACCTGAGAGTCTGAGCAGTAACAGTTCAAAAGCAGTCAGAAGGAGCAGGATCAAGACTGTGTTTCACAGAACTTGCTATGCAGTCTTGTGCTCGCCCACTCTCCCGTATGTCCCTGCTGCAGTGATTTCCAGTTAATTCTCTCCCATCAGTGCTGTTCTGGTGGTTACAGAGGCTTTTTTTGCCCGCTGACTATTTAACAAGCCAGAAGGGAATGACGTGAGACAGGATGCCAGGCACTTACCTGTAAGCAGCAGAGCAGACACCAAAATTTGAGACATTTTCAGAGACATGGCAAGTTACCCAGCAAGTCTCTCCTTTGTCAGACAGAGGCAGTCATAGGGTTTTATACTTTGTTATTTTCAGGTCTATAAATCATTTACCAGGTACTTGTAAATCGTTGGTGCAGGCAGAGGGCAGGGTACAGCGCTTAGTTCAGATTTGTCCTATATGCCTCTCTGTTTGTACACTTTGGACTCTGCAAGCTGAGCCTCAGATGAGCCATAATGCCGTATTATTGTGCGGATGGATTAACTTCTCCATAAACTTTATAGCACAGTGGGCTTGTTCTGTGCACACTGAACAGGCAAGTGTCTGTGAGTCAGTCTCCTGCATTTCCCAGGATGGTTTTTCCCTCGTTGTGCTAATGGGCATGAGTGGTTTATGGTCTGACTTGAATATGTGAATGGTGGGAAATGGTATTCAAATCCCCCTGCTCTGAGAGCTGTGCCTAAGTGTATGGTATATTTTAGCTGTATAGTGCTTGTATTGACAAAAATAAACCTATGACAAAACTAACTAAGTACTAGGGCACAGAGGTCAGGAGGTATTGGGTTTCTGCCCTGAAGTAGGCACTGGTCACAGGGTCTCTCATTGGTGTCTGGCCATTGTAGCATGGGACATCACAAGTTTATGCTGTCTTACCTTTGCCATCTCTCCAGTTAGATGCTGTCTTTTCATACACAGCTCACTGTCAGTACTGGTTGTCTTGCTGCAGACCAGTTTATCTTGATAAGCTCACCCACACCAATGAAAACGGGTCGTGGAAAAGCTAAGCTCTATTGGTGAGTTGATTGGGGTGAGCTGATCTGCAGTTCACTCACCAGCACAGGCGCGTGTGTACTCAGCAGTCCTTACGTCACGGAATTAGACCTTGCTGACGTTAGAGGTCAGGGACCAGGCTCCATGCTGACAGGCAGTAGTACTTCATTCTTGCATTCGCAGTGAGAACCATCCACAGTGGCTGGAGCAAAGGTCTGTTGGGAGGTAAAAGAGTGTTTAGTTACGCAGTTACAGAGCCTCGCGGCTTTTGTCGCTGCACACTGGTGGGCAAGAGGGGACAGCATCGAACAGCAGGTCTGAGAGCGAATCCTTAACCTCGCAGTAGGTTGTTTCACAGCTTCAGTATTGAGTCTTGCTCTAAAATAAAGAAGTAATCAAGGCCACCTAGCAAATTATGGATGGAGGCAGGCGCTCTGCTCTCTGGTGCCACGTTCACAAGGAATATTAATTACCCAAACTTAGGGTCAGCTTTGCCCATCTCTGCGCTACCAAACTAGATGTTAGATGTTGGCATTTTCTGTGCATTAACAGTGTAAGGTCTGGGGTGTTTGCCAATGGCTGACATAGGTGGCTGTGGTAGACAAGCTCTCAAGAGCTAAGGATGCCCAGAAGTAAGTTCCAGGAAAGCATACAAGTTATCCTTTAATCTCTCAGAATTTTCTGGGCCATCCTCTCCAGCCTCTTCTGTGCTTCTCTCTGACACGGACCTGCCTTTCTATTGCAGTTTCCATAGCAGAGGTTTTTCCTCTCAGTTCCTAGTGTAATGCATGGAAAAATAGGTGTCATTTTATATTTATTGCAGTTACCTCTTCTTCACTGTGCAGTCTGATTGTAGAGAAAAGCGCTGGTGATTTGGCCTAGACCAAAAGAGATTATAGCAGCAGTAAGAACTCACTGCTACCTGGAATGAGATCACAGGGAGTCATGCTGGACTGGCAACAGAAACCCAAGACCTAGGCTCTGAGTTCAGAAGGATGCAAGGGTTGCTCTGCTGTAGAGTGGGATAGTGATCAGCTGGATTAGGCAATGATACAAGATCTATAAAACAACTAAACTGCAGACAGCATGTCCTTTGGATGTAGAGATATATAATACCCAAAGACTTGTACTGCTTTTCTTTGTTTCATCTCCTTTCTTGCCACCCTCCTTTCCCTGTCTGATTTTGGTCTTGCTCCTGGCCACTTCTCTTCCTTGTCTACCTCTGCCCCCTTCTCACAAGATTTGTCTTCCCTCTTGTTGCATGCTCTGCAGTTTAACATGAAATAATGCCATGCCCATAAAACCCAGCTTCTTTAGACTGAACAATTTATGAATCTCTTTTAAGGAGAGTGGCTTCTCAGTGTGCTTTTCCTTTCCTCTTCTCATGTGTCCTGCTTCTCATACCCACATGGGTGTACAGCTGCCACCTTGCCTCCTACCCCAGTCCTGCTATTGCCTGGCCTCACCTCTGCTCAGAATAGCCTGTGTTTTTCCTGAAGCCCTGTAATGTATATTTAGTCCAGGGCTTGCAAATGTCCAATTGGCTCACATACAGAATCTTTTAGGAGACAGATGTGTTCTTAGCTGTTCTTTGAGGGCATTATATAGGCAATCTGGATGTCACTAAAAACTCATGAAAAGCATGAATGTGTTTGCTGAATGTAGAATTTTAGCTGTTAATCACTAACAGTTATGCAGGCTGCAATTTTTGGATGATTTATAACTTGGCCCAATGGCTCAAATTTTCATATGGAGGAATGAATCATCGTATCATTTTCACATGATGCCCTCCCTCTCTTGTCAAATTTCTATTCCCTACTTTAAAGCACAGAAAACTTGTTCGGAGGAGTTGTCATCAGGATATTCAGTGCAAGTTAAACTCCCTCCCCCCCCCCCCCATCGTTGTCTCATTTGCTGAAGTAGCTGAGATATTGGCTGAAATGCTTCCAAAAAATTGCAGCCTGGGGCAGACACCTGATAGATTTATTATTTATTTTAAATACTTTAAAAAATTGAGACCAAAATATAGAAGTTTGACTGAGTTACAAACAAATGAGAGTAGAATCATATGAAGGGATGTTCAATATTCAGCGGTACCAGCCTTTCAATAAGGTGTGAGGTAGGCTTCAAGCAGCGAAGTCTATGTTTAGGGAAAATCAGAGCATTCTCTCATTTACATTTCATAATCTTAGGCAGTAAATCACCATTTTGGGGGAAAATCAATGTTCTTCCCCTACTAGCATCATTTTTACTTTTATTTTCTTTCAGGAAAAAAGGGTATAAACCCAAAAGTGTAGCTGATTGTAGCTGATTATAGCTGAAAGTTTTAGGAAGAAGAGGAAAAAGAAGAGGTTGGGCTCACCTTAAAAACATTCTAGGGAAGATGATGATGACTTGCTAGGCAGTGAGGGCTTTGTCTACTTGCATGTTTTTTCAATGCATTTTCCACTAGTGAAGTAATAAAATAGCTAATTTGTAATACATAAGAGAGATTGGGGAGCTGAATATCCTTAAGATCATTCATTGCTTCAAGTTCATTGAAGTCAGCTAACATAAAGTTATTGGGAAGGAGCAAACAGGTAGGAAATCATATACATTGTCTGGGTTAGGGAACAAAAAGTAAGATAAAGTTGAACATTTTCAGCTGGAAGATCCACTTTTTTTTTCTTCCTTGGGACCTGCTTCTAACTTACACGTGTGTCTCCCAGCAGGAATCTTAATTCATTTGATCCAATTTTGCCATCTAAGTATAATGTTAATCTTTCAGACTTTGTAAAGTGTTGAAAAATGTCACATTTTTCTGGTGTATTTACTATCCAGTTCCTCATTTGTTTCAGCTTGTCTAATATTTACCAGTTCTGTTTGTTCATCTCTAAGACATCTTTGACTTAAGTGGATGTACCCACACCAGTGTTGAACTTCAAGTATCTGAAAATGCCTGTTTTGCTGTGGTATCTTTTTGGAACAGAGATGAGACAAGTGTAAGGTAATATTTAAAGGAACATAAAATAAGCAGGATATAAAAAACCTCTCTCAAAACAAAGAAAGCATGCATAAAATGTTGTATCTGGAGAATAATCTACTCTAAGGACTCAAACCAGGATGTGTATAAGCAGCGTAAAGAGCCCACAGGTTTCTTTTACCGTGACTTGTTTGGCATTTTCTGCTTGATTTAGTCGAGTTAGACTGAGCAAGCAGATAGTGCAAAGGCAGACTTGAGACACTGAAGTGAAGCAGACCTCTTCCAGCAGCTATACCTTGGGAGTACAGCATTAAGACCTGTCTTACTGGGTTAAACTGGAAGCCTGGCATCACTTGCCTGATTGTGGCCAGCAGCAGAGGTATGCCAGCATACCTTGTGCACAACTGTCACATTGTGGTTAAGGACTTGAAGTCAGAGGCAGCAGCTTAGTGTTTAATGTTTCTTGATAGATTCTCAATCCCTTAGGTTTGTAACCAGTTGTAAACCATACCTGAACCAGGTGCTGTGCTGAACCCTGCAAATGACAATTGTTTTGGCAAAATTTCTTCCATTACTTTTGTCTTATAGGGAGAACCTGGCTATGTAACTCTGCATGCTGTTTTTTGCAAGGGTAAGAAGGCTAAATTCTCGCTGCAATTCAGTAGAAAAGACAGGAGTTGGCAGGAGTTTGGGGAAAGTACTGGAGGAGGTTCAGTGGTTTTGGTCAGTCTCTGATTCCAGCTACTGTATTCTACATTCTGCTTCCACATAGTCAAGTCTTGGAAGACACCTGCCATCAGCCTGGCACTGAGGGTATGTATCCTCTCGTGTCCTAAGGGAACTCTAGTTCCAGCCACCACAAGCAGTGCAGGGGACGATGCCTCTCTGAAGTCACCAAGGCCATAAGAAAGTTAAATGAACTGTGTGGATTACCCTACCTTTACAAGCTTTTCCTCCTTATAGGATTTCATTATTCATTATTCCCTACTTTTCCAAGGTAAAGGCAATTTGTATAAACCTGTGTGCAGTGGAATTGAGCTAAGACCTACAGAGAGGTCTAATGCGACCAAGACAGCTGGTCCTTTACTGGTCACTATTTCAAATGCCTTGTATGTTTTGAAGTAAGCCAATTGGCATACAGCAAGGTATTTAGCATAGCAGGGTTGTGCATTTTACACCTTCTGGCTTGGAGATGTGCTTTGGTTCATTTCTTTATTACAACCAGCTACAGCTGTTGGCAAGCCCATGTTTGCCTGTGCCAAACAGCAACCACCAGTGCCATCCCGTTTCTCTCAGGCTTGAGCACTTTATTCCTGTCACCTTTATGACAACCAAGGACATGAGTAGCTCTGTCTCCATTGGGGCCAGAAGGTATGACTGCTTTAACTTGCCTTCTTATTCCAGAATTGCTCTGTGTAAAGCTCTCACCTTTCAATGACATACTCCTTAGCTTCCCAATTGCAGGAGCAGGTGCTGGAAGTGGCCCTCAGCTCACCCCTGAATACCCTCAGGCTGCTATCTGCAGCAGGGGTTGCTTCAGGGAAGCTCCCACAGATCAAGAGGAGCAGCTGGGATCAAGGACAGGAGCCATCTGTTCAAGCCTCTCAGTTTTTGAGTGACTTGGAGCCAGGGTCAGAGAGCATCCACCTCCCTTTGGTGGTCAGAGCACCTAGCCATGTACACTGGGAGTTCAGTTGCTCTTTGGGTGCAGTGGGAGGACCTGGGCTGGGATGATGCCAGAGTAAGCATCTGTGCCCTGGTATTTGGGCAGCATGACCATGTCTCAGAGACACCACATTGATTTGCCCTTCCTCTGGATTTCTGGCATGTAGGTAGTACTCAGCAGGCTTGTTCTTTCCATGCCCCCAACCATTCTCATCAAGTCCCCTACGGGCATAATGCACAGGCTCAAATCTCATAGCCCTTTTCTTAACACATGGCAAGTGACCAGCGCAACCAGTGACTGTGGTTTCCTTCATTTTTATTGGTACAAAGGTTAGGAAAGGATGTTAACATTCCAGTAACTGGCCTACAAAGTCAGATAATCACTGCTTTGAATGGCCATCTTGTTTGCAGAGCCATGACCTTCATACATGACAGTAATGTCCATAAAATGCATCTCTTGTTGCTGAGATTGAAATAACCAAACTTTTAATCTCCTTTGCAGAGCATTTACTATGGTACATAGAATGTTTTTCTGCATTTGCAGCAACTTCGTTATATTTCATGTTATGTCTGATTTTGTACATATTAAGTGTCCTGTTTTAAGGAGAAACTGGGTGTATTCAATGCACAGAGAAATTGGAGGAGCTACAAGCGTATGGATTGTCTAGAATTGCTTACTTTTTAACCCTTGAACTCAAGCACAGGTCCAAGGGTGCAACTGAGCTGCCAGCTCAGTCAGCACCCCGATAACTCTGACACTTGCCTTGTTCTTAGTTCACGTGAATACAGCTTGCCCCAGTGTAACAAGAAAACAAGGTAGCATCAGGCTGCACAAGAAGCTGGAGCAATGTGAAGAGTCTCCAAAAGAAACACTGTCAGTACTTTTATGTACTGAATGCTTGCTTCCTATTCTGTGAAAGATTATACAGTCTCAATGCCTTTTTTGGTGTTTTAAAACTTGAGGTTTCTGCTTTAAAATCCCCTATGGTGGTACGACCTGTGGTCCTCACAGTGGCAGTCTCAGAGTGTCACGGCATTCCAAACAGGTTGCTGCAGTGTAGATACTGGCTGACAGCTCTTGGAGCTGCTCTAATCCATCGTCCCTGATTCACAGTAGGGCAGCCATGGCTTGCAGAGCAAACAAATACACACCATGCTCTGATGTGGTATAAGGGCACCTCCACAGTATTCTGTGTTTCTTGCCTTTTTGCCAGTAGTTATTTAGAAACTGTGGTAGGTGCAACCTGAAGCAATTTTAAATGCAGAATTCTTTAAGTCCCTTCACTTCTGGAAATTAATATATATTGGTGCCTCTGCACAGATCTGGGACAGTGTTTATGAGGTCAGGCTGATCTTGCCAGGCCAGGACCTGATGATTCTGCTCACACTAACACACAGACTTAGAGGGAGAGCATCTGGATGCCAGCTCTCAGCTAAGAGAATAAAGCTGTTGGGAGTGTCCTGTGCTGTCACCCTTTTTTACTTGCATAGTGCAGCAGTTTCTAACATCTATAAACAAATAAATGCTTTAGCTTGTTCTGAAGTCAATTTTTATTACTTCTTCTCAATAGCTGAATAACATAACCAAAAGAATGTACTTTGACATTTAGGACTGAGTGTCAAACCATAGCCTGCATTCTTGTAGTCCTGTCATAAAACTGGGGAATTAGTGTCTCTATGAGAAATGTGAAGAATTCTATAACTAAAGCAATCTGAGGAGCATTTTCAGTGCTGTCACAAACCATACTGGGGAATTAACTGCTATTGATGTGACTTATACCACAGGTGTATTTAACACAGTCAAGTTAAATCCTTGTTCTGTGAAGTCCATCTGTTAATCTGGCTTCGATCCTCCTGTCACCTGCTGTTGTTGAATGTGGGATGAACCGATCCTTCTGTGCTCTTGGAAGAGAAGGTTTTAAATCTCATTATAGTGGCAAAACAGGGATAGATCCACAAGGAATGGAGCTACCCAGATATAAAACCTGGTTTGATCTCTAATTACAAAAATACATGTCTGCATTCCATCACACTATCAGAAAAGTGGCTTGTTGGGGTTTTGTGGTATTAGATTAACTATATATATATTAGCTTTATGACTTGGTAGCCAACACCACTGAGAGTGGTTTGCATCACTACCGAAAGTATTGAAAATGAATGTCCAGAATACAAGATAGAAAAAAATATTAAACCATAGTTTGAGAAAAGGGTTAGATGTCTTGGTCAGCCTGTTGCTGTTCAGAAACCTTTAAGAGAACCCTTTGCAATTGTGTGTTTGAAGCACCAGAAAAAGCTGCTTTCATCTGACTCTCTATGTCTGAAACTGACAATGCTCCTGATAATTAGCACTAAATCAAGTAAGCAATCTAAACCTGTGTTGGCATGATGGAGACATAGGTTAAAATCTCTGAGCCTTATGTCTTGATTTCCATGTTTCTGTTTATTGTGGGTGTAGGAAATTAAGGTTTCTCTCACACATTAACTAGTATACCATATATCATGTTATCTAGTCCAGATTTAATGCAGATTTAATGCAAAACCTTGGGTTGAAACTGGCACATTTCTTTGGGGGAAAAAAATGACATTTTATCTTTTATTTGTTGTAATTAATTAGTTTCACTCAAAATTTCCCATAGTCATTTCAGCTAGTGTAGACAAGATCCAGTATTTAGCTTCTTATTGATGTTGACTTATTTTGTCCTTTAGGCACAGTTTCTCAAAGCAGCAGTTGTGGCCGGCTTTGCATTATCATCTCCAATGACCAAATAGAACACGCCTCTGAAACTCCTTTACTGGGCATGCAGGTTTATTGCCTTCAATTTCATTAATTAATGGGATGAATATGTTAAAATAACCACCAAGAATAAAAGAGAAACGCACAGTGGGCAAGCTGCTGGCCAGAGTTACTTCATAATGAGAACAAGCCAATAGCTCAGTAGTACTATGTGGGGAAATATTCCTTTTTAAGTTTAATAATTTTTAATGGAAGTACAAAAAAAACCAAAACCCCTAACAAAAAGTAGTTCAAAATTTAATTCTAGAGATTTTCTTTTTAGTCAAAAGCCAAGTGATCTTTCCCAAGAACTGGAGCAATTTTTGGTAAAGTCATAAGGGCTAGAAAGTCACTGTTTATAATTCAAACATTTTTAAAGTGAAAAGTGCCTGGATGCAGGACTGAAATAGCACGTCAAGATAAAAGGAAATGGCAAGCATTTTTTCAGCTTTCACAGTAGAATATCTGTACTTCAACAGGAGGTGGGAGAGAAATTTCTTATGACTATTTCCGGAAAGTCATTAAGTAAAACGTGCCACAATAACAGGGTAAAACAGAAACAGTGTATGGATAAGGTGTTAATTCGTTAATGTGCTCCATGAGCTCAGACATATAAAATACATTGAGTTTCATAATGACTTCCTGGTAGGTTGGAGACAGGGCAGTGAAGGAAGGGTCATTTTAGATGTACTTTGTGAGTTAAAGGGTCCCTTTCTACTGTGCAAGAAATTAATGTTCTTTGGGTTGCCCATTGATAGGCTGTGTCTTGAAGTTTATAGGTGAGGTTATTGTAGCATAGAATGAAGCAGTTACAGAGATATTCCTGCTGTGCCTTTCCTCTTGTCATTGACAAGGCTACAGGAAGCCTAGGCTTACCTCTGCCTGCTTCCTTTGCTGCCAAATATTCTAATGCCTTGTAAAATTCTGCTTTTTCACTTATTTTGCTCCCCCCCCCCAACTGCATGGTCTTGATGGTGATGAAATATAATGGAGAAGATCTCTTTAACCCTATAATTACATATAAACATATGTAATTTGTTTATGTAATTATATATACATATAATCAAGTAGGAAGGGGCAACTGTGACAAGGAAATCTCTCACCAGTTCGGATCTTGCCAAACCCTTGGCAGTTGGAGAGGTGGAACCTAATCCGCACCAGTAGGATTCAGATGTTAATGAAAATGAGCAATGAAAAGACAAAGTATCAACCTTCAGAGGCACTCTCAAATGTCAGATTGTTCCTGTGATGCTGTAGATGCATCCCAGGCAATTCCCTTGGCAAGCGCTATATGTCACTGACACACGTTCAGCAAAGCACTCGTCTTGGTACAAATACCAGATTGAAATAGT